TTACCATAAAATGGTTGTAGCTATTATATTTTAACTATAATTTATAGTCATGTTTTGGATCAACTATTTTTTCTCAGTGTTCGCAGAGACCGATGCTCTCGTACATTTTTATCACAATTCCGAAAAATTCCTTACAAAAATTACAGAAATTATAAGAGTTATGAAATCCTGTTTTATTCTGCATTGTCCTGTCGAGTCTCAAAAATTCCCGCAATTTGAGCAAACGATTTAGATTATCATTGATTTTAATCGATTCGTTTATCTGGCTAGTTTGTCGTGTGGAACCTATGGAACGAGCTAAGCATGTAGCGATCGCTGGTGGTCCTGCAGTTTTCACCGTTCTTCCCGCAGATGACTTAAAAAATAGAGCGTAGCGCTGTTACAGCGCAGTGAGTAGCTTTCTTGTAAAAAATGAGCTCGTCTTTCCCCATAACTTATTTCTTATAACTTATTTCTAATATTTCGATTAACCCTTTGCACTCTAATATTTTATTTCGTCGTACGTTTTATTTGATATATTTTTTTAAGTTTTGTTAATTGGGTACAAGATGAAGAATTTCTAGGAATTTCGAGAACTTCTCTATATAGTCAGTTAACATATTGAAAAATTCGTCATTTTAATATATTCTTAACATTAAGAAATCTTGTGTGTGGAATATTAGCTCCTGCGAAATATCGATTCTTCAATAGAGATATAAAGTATCATTTCATATATGTATATATTTTTTAATGAGTGCAAAGGAATGGATCAATTTGACGAATTCTTAGTTATCATGACAATCTTGAATCTTACTGATTCTTGTTACTTAAATGAATGTTAGAAACAAGAATTGTTTGCTGTTTTGCGTTTTATATGCATTATGATTTAAAATTTTTGTGAAAAAAGTGTCACGTGTAACAATAATTATTTCTCAAGTCTAATTACTAAGCGAATGCAACGATTTATTCTCTACATTCCCTGAAATAGAATCACGCGATTCAAAGACCGAATATATAACTAACATTGCATCCCTCTCGCGAATCCGACCCGCACGATTTCATTTTGCATTGTCGGCATCATTTCCCTTTGCTCTTTTTTCGTTCAACTTTCTTTTTAAGTTCGACTTTTTTTTTTACTTTTAACACTTCAACATACTATCACAGTACATATGACACGTGGATGATGAGAATCTAGGTTTCATTGTTCGAACCCGGCGTACCTTGACGAGATTGCATTTTGCATAGACAGAATCGATGGGCCGCCAGTTCCCCCGTGTTCTATATGTCATATATGCCAGTCCCCTTTATTTATTTGATATGCATATGTAGGTGTTCAGGTGTGTCACGACGCATTTGCATCCCTTTTACTGCAAACGGTGTCGATATCATGTTGTAATAGTCTACTCGACTCGCAAGATTGAAATGAAAAGCTCATGTCGATTCTCGATATTTCAAACGACATTGTTGACGTGCATTTTTCATTTTTAGAAAGTTTCTATGATTGAGTACTTTTGAGTGTCAGTGTTTATTTAAAATTAATTTAAAATTAATTATAGATAATTGATGAAATTAATTATAGATAATTGATGTTCTGTTTATCTGAACTTCTTGCACAGTTCATTTTCCTTTTTCTTCTTCAACACAGAGGAAAGAAAAAGAGATGAGCTAGAAATTGCTGCAAGAAATTCAACTAAAAAGAACAGGCCTCATATCTTGCCGGTCGAGTGCCCCGAGATCTCTTTTATTTTAAATGTTTGCTGCATTGAAGAAAATCTGATAATAGCTATCAATATTGAGTAAAATAATATTCGATTAATATAATCAAAAATACTTTTATTGTCTTAAATATTTAATAGATATTATCAAACGGTTGATTATATTATTATATATGGTAATTACTAAATAATTAGGAAAGTAAAATTATTTTGATTACATTAACCGAAGAGAGAAATTTGATTGGCATTAATTCACTCAAGATTTGACGCTATTATCAAACTTTTTCTTTCAGTGCGTGATTCTGCGAATCCAAGCGATATATGTTTTTAATACTCACGACACCTATTCTTTCCCAACAGTACGGAAAGATCTAACGCTGCGGCTACAGTTCCGATTCTTTAACATGAACCACAGGAAACCTGCCTTGATTCAATGAAAGGTAGCTACCCGTTGTGTGGTAGACCATCAGCCGAATGAACCGCACTTCCTTTCTCCTTACGGGGAAGGTTTAACCAACGCCAATGCTATTTTTGCTTCACTAACACAGCTTTTTAGACAAGTCGCACCGCGAGAAAAACATACAATCGCTCAAACACGGTCGCGAAAGGAATACTCGTTGGATCGTTTGAGGAACAAAGCACGAACAGAGCGATGGTTTTGCATTTGCGTCATTCCGTCTTATACATTCTTGGAGATGGATTCGTCGGATTCGATCTCGACGTCTTATTTTCGGAAGTCATGCGATCGCGGATATAAATGCAAATAGCAACGTCTTATTCTTTCGGAAGCAAAATAAAATCAATATAATAAATCATATTTCTCACGGAGAAAAATGGTTAAGTAATTTTTATTTTACAAGACTATATAGTAAAAATATTCTGGCTATTTTTGCCGAACTTATGACCAACTTTACTTGTCTAAAAATATCAGAGATGTAAGATAAAGAGTATATTTAAGTATAAGATAAAAAGTATATTTATACGATTGTAGTAGATCCGTCCAAATGATTATTATCTTACAGATAGTAAATTATTATTATTTTCAAGATAAACACTGATAAGCATGAAAACTTCCAAGACTTTATTCACTTGTATTTTTTACCATGCAGTAAAGTAAACGTTTAGGCAAAAAATACTCGTCGATAAAATAAATTTTATTGAGATGTATTGTAATTTATATATTTATAGATTTACTTTACGAAATGTAAAAGATGTACCTTACAGTATAGCTCTATGTAACGCTCATTTATCAGAAAAGTAAAATAAATTTTACATAAATACGCATATGTCCCTATAATAAATTTGCCAATTCTATAAAATTTACTAAAATTGTACATGAAAAAAAATATTTGATTGGATTAATTGGAATTCTGGCTGGAAAAAAGGAATGATTTCTGGTTAAATTTACTAGATTTCTGAAAAATACTAGAATTCTAGTAGATTTAATCAACACGCAAAAAAATATTTTGTTGCTCCAGCTAGAATTATCTCTATTTTTTTATATTTAACATATGCATAGAATTTATAGCACAAATCTAAATTCTATCTTTGTCATCTA